GAAAATTCGTGGGGTTAAGAAGTAATAAGTGTGATGATCGGAGGATTCTGGAAGGTTGGTAGTACGCTACTAGATCTTGAATGTAGACAGGAGATTGTTGATGAAGAGCCTTAAAGGTAAGTAACATAATCTTGAATATTGTGCTATACACTCCCAATGTAATTAAACTCTCTTCATTTCAGCTTTTTGGTGGACGATGCAAAGTACCAATTGTCGATGAAGAGAAAGACCAAAAAGAGTCCTTGAAGACTACAATAACCCATTAGTGCGAATCTACCGTGCCCTTTCATACTCGAAGGATACCTGACTTACTTGACAAAAGTTTAACCTCTTTGCCCCTTGTGAGGCATAGGGCTTCCACCATAGCTCTCCACTGGACTCTGTTCTTTGCAATCTTTTCAGCCTTCTTCCACGTTTTCCTGATGTTCTCCAGCTCTTTTATCACTGTACATCTCCACGACTGTTTTGCTCATACATGTACAACTCGAAGGATGTAAAAATGCTTAACCTTTTACAAATTCATCCATAATGTCACGATGGACAGTCACCACCCCTCCTGGGGCAAGGGCCGCCGACAAGGGTCCTCCAGGTATCTCTGTCCTCGACTTTTCTCTATCTGGTTCCAGGTCAGCCCTAATCTCCAGATGTCTGCTTCCAGGTCCCGGCGCCAAGTGCCGGAGTGGGTACTGGGCTCGATTACCTGCTGGTGAGCGGTGGATATCGAGTCTGAATCATCTGCCGATTTATAGCACGTACACAGTTTCCTAGGATAAATTGCTCCATGAATTCCACAACCTGTAACAGTTAACAATTTTTGTGCAATTTTGCATTCTGTAATAGCTGTTGTTGCACTGCTTAGTGGTTTGACCTACAAAGGACGTGAAAGGGTCAGTTCTGCTTTGTATTGCAAGGTTGGACGGCTGTTTACAATACCCAATTGTAGTTAACAATCTATTATCAATTGTACAGTTTACAATTATCAATGAATTGTAATGTACTTTTCTAACAAGCTAAGAATGCAATGTAATAAAATAGATTAGTTTTAACTTTTTTAAACAGCCGAATTCAAATGATTGATGGATGCAATTTCTACACAATAAATTTCATCGTCAGGAAACTTAGTGTGACAAGAGTGTCTCTTGTTTTATAAGCTCTCTGTCTGTAAGGATTACCCGTTCACGTGATCACGCACTCCCCTTCACCATCCTTATTTGGGTTGTCGTCCGATAATTTTCCCCGCTGATGGGGAGTAGCGCATGCGTGAGAAGTGGAATTTCGATAAGTGACATATTCACTTGGTAAGGATAACAAATGACGTGTTTCTTTTAGCCTGCTAAATGACAGAGGCATAGAGTATACCTGTGTCACTGCTAGGATAATCATCTCATACTTAACAATTATTCCACGAGGGCGCGTTGGATATTTAAACAATAGAGTGTTTCTGTAGAGCAAGTATCGGCTGATAGTTGCCCCCGCGGGAAATTTGATGTTCTTAAAACAATATTTGATTCTCGGGCTAACATGCTAGTTTAAGAACATCAACTCTCCAAGGGGCAACTATCAGACCGATAGTTCCAACACATAAACACTCTATTCTCTTTATTGTTCACCACTGAATTTTCTTCCACACGCTAGTTATACCATATTGAATATCATTGAATTACATGTATTTTCAACTTTCTTAGATGAAACCCGTGAAAGCCAAATGTAAAATTCGAAAAAGTTAACAGACTAAAACCCACTTAATACAATTCCAATTGTTTATTTTCTATAAGCCCACTTGTTTACAAAAAAGATTTTCATCGACGAGTACTATCCATCCGGGCATTTTCCTCGTACGGGCACTATATAAACAAACAAGCCTCCATTTGGCGCTAAAATACGCTCCGATACCGTAAAATTCCGAAAATAAGCCCCTCCGTGTATAAGCCCCTCCGTATAAAAGCCCCCCAAATCTGAAACGCAAAAATACCTCCTATAATAAGCCCCTCTGAATATATGCCCCCGGGGGCTTGTATTTGGAAATTATCCTCAATTATACAAACCAAAGCAAACTACACATAATTACCATTATCAGGAAGCCTTTTCTTAGTCATAACAGAATGATTCCGTGCACTAAAGCAATGTGGTCACCAAGTGTTGAAGTTTATTGTCTTTTACGCAGTTCGCTCTTCACTCGCGCCTTGAGTTCCTTCGGTTCGTAGAAAAAGTATTTGCAAGGAAGTTCGATTCCGTTACGCTTTTCACATGTTATCTTTGGGGTGATAGGATGTTCCATCTTTGCGCATGGGACTCGGATGAGGGAGATCTTGAAGCCACTGACACAGAGGAAACTGATGAAGAACGATATGAGCTTCCATAGTTATCATGAACTTTGAGCCTGAACTACGTTGCCGTTTTTACTGTATTTCCGTTCTAATAAAGTTCATTGCCGTTATGTTTGAACTTGGCATTTTCAGTGTGATTAATTTGTTACGAATTTCTAGCCAAAACCCTAATATTACCAGTTGCACTTTCAAAAATTTTGACACAAATTTTCCTCCAATTATAAGCCCAGCCAATTTTGAAGCGCAAATTTCCCTACTATAATAAGCCCCTCCAAATATAAGTCCCTTTCAAAAATAAGCCCCTCAAAAAGCTCCTTTGAAAAAAAATAAGCCCCGGGGCTTATTTTCGGAATTTTAAGGTATTTGTCCTTGGACATTATCTGTTCCTCAAAGCTCACAGTTTTCCGACAAATGCCAGGAGGGTCTAGAAATAGTCAATACTGGAAAGCGGATTTTGCTCACGTGTACAGTCCAAGCGGCTTCACAAGCATTTTCACCATACAAGAAAACAACTAGGCAACGTAACGAGCGTGTGCCATTATCCGCAGGGGAACTGGATGTCACATCTAAAATTTGCTTAGAAGATTACCTTCAGAATGAGGCCTATATGAGTGATTAACTCGGTTACCCTTGATTCTCTCTTGCTGGCAGTTATATCGACAGAACACGAACCTTCTCTTCAGAAAACTTCTGAGCCTCAGAGGAAAGAAAAGGTATTCCTGAGTCAGGGTGAAGTTTTATAGAGCTGCCGGTGACGTTAGCGAACTCAGTAGAAATGCTGAATTCATCACGTGAAGACCGCAAAAAGTAGTCAGGCGACTGCTTCTCGAAATCGAGTTGACGTTGAATCGGTTTTCTTTTTAAGGTGCTAAGTAGACAAATATTGTACCTCAGATAAGATATTAAAAAAGAAAAAGAATACTCAAAACATCAAGACATTCTAAAATGTCAGAGCATTAATAGCTTGTTCCTGGCGTTCAGCTGAGTCAATCTGGGCAGCGTGAAGAACGGCGAGAAAAAAATGGTGGAGAGCATTTCTGCTGCTCAAAACTTTTGCCCGTCTAGGAACGCTCATTAGTTAAGAGGTCAAATTTATCTTTCTAAAAGGAACAGGAATTAGAGTGTAAAACTCAAGGCTCCGCCGTTGTTGAGATCGAAATTATTTAATTTAGTTCTTACGACGCACGTAGGGTCTACTAGAGTTGAAATTTAAAACCGGTGACATCAAAATAACTGACATTAATAAAGAACGGCAGATGGCGTCAGAACCAAAATACTCCTTTGAGTCAGTCTAAATAAAACACTGAACTAGACATCACTGATATACTACACAACAGACAAAGTGTTCACAGGATTTTATTTTATGTGGAATTCAAATGCTACTTTTCCTAGAATTCTAGAAATTCTTAACTCGTTTAAAAGAGTCTTCTTTTGCACCTTGCGTTCAATCATTAATGCATATATTAAAACATTAATTAGTATTCCTCCAGCTGGGTTGCAAACGCTGACAGAGCTGGGCTCCGGAGGAGCAAAAGAAGCAAAAAACCTGTCAGCATTGTATTTTAGACTTTCCTTTGTTAGAGTTAAAATAGTCACGGGCACTCATGAACGGATCGTTTTAAAAAATTGTCGTTTCAGGTACCACGAAAAAATCGGCTATGATTTTCGGAACTGAAAGGTAATAAGACGAAATGGTCCAGAAGACTTAAAAAGTTGCAGCAGAATGATCGACCACTTAAAAATTTTATAACGCAGCCTAAAATTCACCAACAGACCGCTTTAAAAGCACTCCAGATAGCCTAAAAACAGAATTTTAAAACATTTGAGAAGAAAGCGTTAACTGTCGTTGGTTGTCCCTGAATAGCAACGATAAACTGACTGATTAAAGCAATGGAAGAGATTTGGTTATCAAGTCTAGCTCTGACAGCTCTGATAAAATATGAGATGATTAATCGAATTTCCATAAAATACTTAACATTCAAATTACAAAACCTACGAAGCAAAGTAGTAATTAACTCTCCAATTTGATTTCTATCATCGAAGAAACCCATGAACAACAACGAGGAAATCGTTTTGAAGAAAAAAAGAAAAAAGCTAAAGGTCTAATCTGACGATCTTACTGCCAATCATCCGTCTTTAATTGAGACTGACAGGGAAAACGTATTCTTCAGTGTGTACTTCCTTTGCGGTAATATTCAAAACTCCTGACCGGCTTGCAGATGCATGAAGCAATGGGAAATATGTTTGTAACGCTGGTGCCAGCATCATTTAAAGAATAGAAAACATTTTTTTGTTTTTATCGAGTTATAGAAACACGAATGGATGTCTGGGAGAACGAAAGAGAAAATCACTCGTTTCGATCAGCTTTTGCAGCACCATTACGTTAACAGCTCCTGCTAATTCTGTGTTTACGTCGAGTAATAAATTAGATATGCCCACTTCACTGCGCGCTTTCTTATGGGGTGTCTTAGCTGGCTCGCCTACTCCACTCTTATTAGGGCATTTTAGGGCAATTTTCTTTCAATGGGATTTACATGATCTAAATATTGTTAATTTTTATGAATGTAACTACATTTTTCGCAAAATACTGTTTCGCAGAGAGATGAGCGTTTTGTTTGTCTCCTTCACTTTGCAACAGCAGTTAACTGAAGGCGTTCGAACCGAAGATTTCTGATAATTCACAATTATTTTTTCAGTGGGTTTGTCATCATGGTTTCCTACGCAAGCTATAACAATTTACCGAATACGTGGTTATGTGACTATTTTGTGGTCACCCGTAGTAGCAATTATACGCGCTTTTTTATCAATATATCTTGCGTAACCTTTTCAAGATGTAATTTAAAGAAACGCTTTTGTTTAGACCATTGGGATATTAAATATCTTTCAGTGGAGGTATATCATTAGAGGCGTACTTCAGAGATGGTCTTCGTAAGAAGAATTCGAGAGAAATTGCCGGGTTTGAATTACTTGCGGCGCCAAAATACTTTCCGTGTCTCTCAATTTCTGTTCATTTCGGGGGCGTGGAACAAAAGACCACAACAAAGACCTGCTGCTTTGATAGAATAAAAATCATACTGATAAGCTTAAGAGTTAACCTACAGATCAAGCGTTCTTATCATCACTTTAGATTTTGAAATACACTCTTGAAAGCATCGGAAGCAGAAAGAGCCGCGCGCGATGATTTTCATGCTCACATGTTCCGATGATGATCATTCAGATCCAGAAAAAGACTTCATTTTCAGAAACATTGGCAGACTGATAAATCAATAATAAAATGAACAAAACGTTTGTTTTTTTACGTGTCACTAAAATGATGGTAAAACGGGTTGGAAAGAAGAGACTTTTCATATGGGCCAAGGTTACTCCATACGTCATTTTCAGTTTTAATACGTTTCACTGCAGGGTTTAATTCAACAAGAGTTCTCTAATATATCTTTGATGTGTGTGAACGACGGCAGATTGGAAGTTCAGTCTTCCTCGGTGCTGTGCTTTGTGAGGACGATGACAGCCGCTTTCACGGCAAAACAACTGAAATTGATCTCACCTTGAGGGGAGAACATAAACAATGCTGAGCAAAATAAAGGTTTACTTATGATTTCATTTGTGATGAAGTTTCAAAGTAGAGATGGACACCAATAACAAACTGTTCTCAAAACCATTTGTCATCTAAAATGGTTGACGTTTTTATTCACACGTCCGCTTAATTTACCTTACAACGCATGTAGTTACTAAGGAGCAAACAGACAAGGACGCCATTATATAATCACAAGGGCATCGATATTCATTTTGCGAGGGTTAATGTGTGACAGGAACTTGACTTCGGTTCATTTGTTGTAAATGCATTAATGTCTTAGTTCGATTGTAGTAAAACTTAATTTTGATTCCGAAAATTAAAATAAAGATGAAAGGATGAATAAAGAATTTATTTTGTTTTATTTCCCCGCGCCCCGGAGCCAAGTTTGAATTTTGGCCAAAATTGGCCTGATCTTCTTTCAGTTTTATCAGCGAAAAATAATCTTCTTTTGTATTCAGCAGCTTTTAGCTTGCTCAGCTTGTAAAACCGTGCATTTCAGCTCCGTGCTCTACGTCAAACAGGTCAAAGCTTTATGTTCTTTACTGAATATTATTTGACTAGTGCTTCAGATGACGAGTGATGCCTTTAACCTTGGTAACTCATAAACAGACTACAGAGTAGTCTAGCTTTTAATGAACACATTGGATGTCCGTATTGGCGCTGTTTACTTTGGGAAGAAACACGAGATCTTGTAATGTACTTTATTTTCCTTGGATGCACTTTTCTTCACGTATGGAAGTCACTGTGGAGTTTCGTGGGTGTTATTCTGCAAAAAAAATAGAGGTTCGCCGCTCTTTACACCTTTATACTGTGTAAACAATATACAGACATCGCAAGTAAACATGTACTTCATGATAGAGGTGTGCGTGTTAAAACGAGGTCGATGAAAGCGCCTGGTGCCTATATTAAATCTTGTAAACATGTTTAAAAAAAAAATTGAAACATGGAGAAACTTCATGCCCGCGTAAGTAATTAGCATTCTGCTGATATTTCGCCATATCTAAAGCGTAAAGCAATTAGTTGCCATAAATTAGTAACAAAATAACTCGAACAATAAGGCTCATATTAATGACGGTGTACAAATTCATGACGTTGCGTGGGAGGGCCTATAAAATATAGTCATCTGCCAGAGGGTACTATAAGAAAAGCTTCGGCTAGTGCTCGATCGTTAGCTCGGGGCTAGAATTGAAAACATGAAAATTTCTCATTACCCCCGGAAGAACTTCCACCTTTTTTTGGTGAAATACCTTTTGCTGAGTTCTTTGTCTCTTCTTATGACACAAGGTATGTAAAGTGAGTCACTTTGTTGCGGCGGTAACATGCACTTTCCTTTAGATGCCAAGTTGGGTCTATGTTAACAAGTACGCTTTCCAAGCTCAGGAGTGAAATAGTTGTATATGAGCTGTACGTGTTGTTCTTTAGTTTGAGACAAAAGGGTAAGTACAAGATTGCTTTAACATTTCGCTAGTCGCAAGCCATTCAATGCGGAATTTTTTTCGGCTGATTGAAATTCGCCTTTCTAACAATCGCTCAACTAAGACCTGACTATTGACTCGAACGCATACTACACAGATCGTTGAAAACTATAATGCCAGTTGTTATTTCTTAAAATTAACGCTTCATTTCAATGTATTCGGGATAAGCTATTTTGATTATTTAACATTAATGTGACATCAGTCATCTGTATTATTATTATCTCTACAGCTGGCACAGTATTAAGCTGTATTCTTCCTTTAAAAGTTCTTGTAAAAGTTTTGCTCCACCCATTTCTTGGCATGAGAATTCAGTAACTTTATGTACGGTTTTCGATAAAGTTTCATACTGACTTTCCTGGTTTAAAGCTGCTTGGCGAGGACATATATCATTTATGAAACCACAGAGGTCTATGACATGCAAAGTGTAAACAGGTTCTAATTTCAATATTGATCTGAATGAAGAGCTAATTAATTTCAACTCCTTCTGTCGTTTGTAATAAAGTTTTATAGGTAAAACTGCAATAAGCCCGCTTATGAAATACAACTTCAATGAGAATGAATTTAGAAATTTGAACAAAGTGACATTCGTGATGTTTCTTCCAATAATATATATTCATCGACTTATGATGTTTCAAAAATATTTTCATTTTCGATTCTGATTCGAATTTTTAGGGGCATTTCTCTATAAAACCGTTTCAAAATATACCGACATTTAATATCTGTTCACAAGTCGTTTTTCCGTGTTCTAAGGTTATTCCACATTCCGTTAACTGTGGAACTTGTTCGTCTTATTCATAAAACATAAAATAGGGCATTATAGCATAAATATCTCCCTAAGGGGATATTAATACAATATGTAAGTAGCTTAAAATTTTGGCTATTTGTTGTGGCTTCAGTCAGAACACGGTCGTTGAAAGCACTGATAATCCAAGATAAGCGTAAATTTCAGCCAGTTTTTTAACTTTGCACTGACATTTTCTTTATATTTTTTATCTTCAGTTTTGACTTCGACCGATGCCAAACCCACGAGAAGCACTAAATTAAAACCTCCATTGACGTTGATTGGCTGCAACAAGCTGATAACTGTCAAATTTCTCGTACGATATTGAGATACGCGTGAAATCCTTTGCATATTTGGATGATGTCGCAAAGGCACATTGCACGAAATCCATTCTGTGTTCCCACACCAATTTATTAACGAATGAACACGGTAGCTGAAAACAAAATTACAACTGATACAGGAATAACATGCAGCGAACTAACTGGAACAGACTAGACACTTAAGAGCGTTCACTCGCGCCATGTATTGTTTTACATGTATTGTTTTAAGTGAAACCGCTGCATTCAAATGAAGTATTTATCATGTCTGCTACTAAGTACGTTTAATTCCATGCGTAGTGCCAACCAACATTCACGATCGTTTGTACAATAAAGATTTTGCACGTGACGTCATCAAACTCTGAAATCCAATACTAAAGACCCATTAAAATTTTTATCTTCATCTGGCATAAGAGTTGCTGAAATTATATCTGTTTACCAAATTTCAATCGAATAGTGCCCTTCGTTTGGAAACCAGCGCATTTTGAATTTCAGAGTTTTGGCGGTGCGTGACATAAATCTACGAACGCATTTGTCGAAAAAAAAGTAAATATAATATTATATATTATCTCGTGATTTTTAGCCAATTGACAAGTTAAAGTAGTAAGAAAAGTGTTTACATAAATGCTTGTTTGTACGGTACAAAAAAAGGTAGCCTTCATAACCAGATGTTAACGCTGTTTTAAGACCGCCATATTGGTGTATTACCAAGGGACACCAATTTGCGTGACGCTCCAGGGTGAGCTCTATAAATCTGTGCGAAACATTTCGACGAACATCTCAACGCATTCATCTAAAACTTAGAGAGGTATCTTCTTTGTTAATCTTCTATAACACCACAATTTCTTGACCTAATCCACTGAATGTTTTTCGATTTAATTTTTAACGAGTGGTTGCTTAGCTAGAAGGAGTTATAGGGGTGATAAGACTTATGCAAATAAGCGGTATATCGATAATCCCTAAAATTCTGGGATCGATTTATTGTCAGCGGGTACTTAACGTGTCGTAGTGTACCTAGGAGTGACCAAATTATGCAAATACACATGACTTTCTTTGTAGGCTGAGAGTCTATATCCTTTATATTACGATAAAACAGAAGCATCAGTGAAACTCAAGAAATGAAAAACAGGCCAAGCCAATTCACGGATAAGTTGGAATGAAGTTTGTGGTGATCTAAAGTTGCATACATAACGGCATTTACCATACCTCCCCCTCCCCCTACCAACGACAGGAGCGATCTATTTCGTTGCTGCTAGCAATCCCGAAGTTTATGTCCTATTTGAAATATTTGTTTATTTATTTAAAGTATTCCCAATTAGCGCAATAGTGCCAAATACATCTGACACTCAAATAAAATTTGTGTTATTTAATTACTATAGATGACGACCCTCTGGTACTATAACCCCTCCAAAAGTAGTGCTTTAAGCACAGCTTTAATGGTCATGAAAAACCAAGAATATAACAAATAGAACAAGCTGAACAAAAGCGATCTGACTAGTTTATGTAAAAAGGAAAAGCCATTATCAGGAAAACAATGTTATAATCAAATTGAGCAATCATTTCGTGAGTCTGTTGGCATAATCCGACCAAATTACATGAGCGCTCAGTTGTTACAGCTGGTACAAACATTGAAAAGATGTAAGTGAAATCGAAAGAAGATATCGCGACCTACTCGATATAAGCAACACCGTATTCTACTTAATATATTTTTTCATATTCAGTCAAAGGTTTACTCAATGACTTATCCATATCTTATCACTTAGGTTCCCTGGAAATAAAATGGGGCACGAGTTCACCGAATAAAATATTTGAAGGCAAACTAATGAACCTGGGATGCCATTTCTCGGGATGGCCTCTCCCTCACGAGGTCCATTGGTACAAGGATGGAGAACTAATCACAAACGGAACAGAAGGTATTTATCACTCAGAGGACGAGAAAGAGCAGAATGGAGAGACAACTCTCCGGAGCACACTTCATCTTCCGTCGGGACATGAGGAGCAGGAAGGATTCTACAATTGCAGTGCAAGCAACAGTATTCGAAGCACCTCTTATGAGATACAGATGATATATCAATGTAACTAAAACTATTTATTTCTTGCAAAGTTAACAATGTTTCTCGTCAATAACAATCTCGCTATTATCTCCTGACTGGGTCTCTGAAGGAGCAGCATAAATTTTCAAATTTTGTAATTCAAGTACGCCGATAGCCTCGAAGCCTGAACTTCCAACTAAAGGTGACCAAATGATAGGAAGGGACAATGAAATAGTGTTTAATAAAGATTTATTTTCATTCAAGATAAAGCATAGAAATGCATCAAAAAGCTTAAGAGCAGCTTGCTCTAACGGTCACCTATACCTATGCAGGATAGAAAAATTCGCTTTTCTCAAACTTTGTCAGGAAGAAGCTTCTTATTAACTTATT